CTAAATTAGGGTCCCATTTGGGATCCCCCACATAGTACGGCACCCTTGTAACAAGCACCCCAAAAAGGATACTCATGTAGAAAAGTACCCATATGTGTGTCAAGTCTTGGGAGGGTTCAAGGGTTCAGGGTTTGGGGATTCCGAGGTTCTGGCTTAGGTTTTGGGGTTTAGGGTTTAGGGCTTAGGAATTTGGGGTTTAGGGTTTAGGATTTTGGTGTTTAGGGGTTTAGGGTTTAGGGGTTTAGGGGTTTAGGGTTTAGGATTTTGGGGTTTAGGGTTTAGGATTTTGGGGTTTAGGCTTAGGTTTTGGGGTTCGGGAACACGCAGTCTCCGCAGTTCTGATTTTGATACGCGCTATTCGTCAGAATTGATAGGGGTAGGAAGCGCAGTTCTGGTGTCTTCTCCATTGCCTCGGGTTTGGGGGATATTCAACCCTAAACCCGTAAACCCTAAATCAAAAAACAATGGGGTTTTGGGATATTCAACTCTAGATTGTGTTTTTTTTCTGACTCTTATGGGAAATTTGTGACTACTTTTTCCGGCCCTGACCGTAACCTATCCAAACCCACTTTCTTGTAGGTTCTTATTATCAACCCTAATATGGGATGTATAGGGACCCTGCGAAACAGTAGGTTTCGGGGGCAGCTGCTATTGCGAAAGGTTCCATGGTTTAGGGTTCCTTGCCTTAGAAATCGTCTCTGCGGAGTTTGGGCCGCAAAGCTACAGAATGCCGTCCTCTGTAAATCTTACCTGTGACCCCGAGCCCTACAAAATAGCAGGTTATGAGCCCTTTACTTAGGGGGTAGAGCCCCTGAAACGGTAGGTTTCTGGATCGCCACGTAAACCCTACAACTCATAGGCTTCTATCCTCACAAGGTTTAGGGTTTCGAGCTTAGGATTGCTGTTCCAGCCCAATCACCACTGGCTTCGATGCAGCTGGCTTCGCAACCGGCTTGGCGACGGGCACCTGTCCACAATTAGTCCCCACTCCCAGATTCTACGCTCGGTAATGCAGGGGCCTTATTCAGGGTTTAAGGTTTAGGGTATGATTAATGTAAGGGCCTTAATGGGGTTTAGGGATTCAGGGGTTCAGGGTTTAGGGCATGATTAATGTAGGGCCTTAGTATAATTAATAGGATTTGTGGGGGGTCCTTACTATAGAATTATAGTATAATATACCCCAAGCCCTATTCTGATTATTAAGGCCCACATACATAGGTATGTATATATGCTCATACGTACACACGCATGCACACATGTACGCACATGCTTACAGACATATAAACACATGCATGCATGCATGCATGCATGCATGCATGCATACATACGCACCTTAATTAATTCATAATTTCTTCCCTTCGTTCTTACCTACCTACATACATACATACATGCATACATACGTACTTCGTCGTACATACGTACACGTACATACGTACACGTACATACGTACACGTACATACGTACACGTACATACGTACACGTACGTATGTACATAAATACATACATATATACACACATACACACATGTACACACACATACATACCTACCTACCTACCTACCTACCTACCTACCTACCTACCTACCTACCCACCTACCTACCTACCTACCCACCTACCTGCCTACCTACATACATACATACATAGGTGTGTGT